TTGAATCTGATGGTACATCAGTTTAATTAATTTCTATTACTGAATATCAGTTCTTACTCTTCAAAAATAATCATTAACCACATTAACACTGTAGCGATGCATATATAAACAGCTAGTTTGAATTTTAAAGTTGCTGAACAACATTAGAATTCAGGGGTAGCTGCTCCTGAAGTATGAGAGCAAGTGAGAACTCAAGGTCTGACCAAAGCCAGTTCCCTCATTTGTACAGTTAAAAATGTAGGAGCTCTCGCCAGTAACTTCTTAACCTTCCTATTCGAGGATGCATCTGATTAAGGATTTCTGGATTCCCATCACCACAGAATATCATAGTGGTAATTTCAGAGTTGAGCTGGTTTTGGGACAAGCTTTCATAGTTTGCAGGGATCAGCTGATGCTTTGCTCCTCACCTGTAGTCTTAGAGAAGCTTCTGCAGGTCTCATAGCTTTTGTTGTTCTCTCAAGCCTCAGGCATTTGCATTTTCACGTGTTGCATTCAGCCAAGTCCTACTTGTCCCAGAGCTCAGCTCCTGTCTGGGACTTCATAAGAACATCCATCGGTGCTCTCCTACTGACAGTGAAGCAAAGATAATAAGCAGCCTTTTCTTCTAAGTCTTATTTCAAGTGGCAGTGAGGTTTGCCTTGAAGAAAAATACCAGTAAATGTTGCTTATAGTTGGACTAATTAGAGAAAGCTTTAAGTTTACAGATCTTTAAGAGCAGATTATTTTACCAACAGTCTTAAAAATTGCAGGATAACTTCTGGTGACAGTCTCCTTTGACTCTGATGGTCTGTACTTCTCTGTTTCAAAATTAACCCACTTTTAATATTGCTTCCCTGGTCTGTTCTCTTGCTTGCATGGCACACCAAACATCTTTGTGAATGCCCTCCAGAATCTTTCAGCAGCACTTACATGTGCTTAAGTTTGAAACTCACATAAAAGGTTTCCTCCCACTTTTCCAAAAAAACCCTATTAATGTATTTAATTCTCTTAGGCACCCAAGTACAGTTAACACCACAAACAGGAATAATGGATCATTGGTGACTTCTAGCTATGAGAAATCAGAGCTGCAAGATTATGGTGGTGTAAATCTCTGAGGATTAAGCCAGCCTGCTGTGGTGACATTCTGAAGCAATTTGGAAACAAGATATCTCTTTGCTTTGTTCCCCAGCATGGGGGAAAGGAGAGGATAAAGTTTATTTTGTATCGCCTTTTCATCAAGTGCTTTGAAGTGCGCTGTTTGTGGAATGAGGAGAATTGTACCATCCTGTCTGTGTAGTGCAAGTGATGGTCAAGTCTCTGTGCAGTGAACCACTTCAGAAATGGTAGTACTTATAGGTCCATTCTCCTGGATATATTGGCTTATGCATCTCTCTTGTCTTCTAACTTCCTGAAGGCCCAAGTCCTCTAACAGCTGCTGTATATTTTTTTTCCCTATTTATGGTTTACTTTTTCTATGCATCTTTAAAATGTCTGCTCTCCTACCAAACCATGATACTAGAGGACTTGAGTTTAATCCTCTCAACACTGAAATTTTAATGAGCTGTGTAATGTAATGGAAAACTGGAAAACCTCTATGCTCCTATACCTGTGAAGAACCATTTCTGTCATCAGGAAACAGTTCTTTCTGGCTCCTTGGAAGAGCTTTATCTACTAAGAACCAGAGATTACATTCTCCTTAGTAGGAAGGGACAAACTTACTTTCTAGACTTAAAGAGTGCCAAGACAGTGGAGTATAAAATTGCAGGTAGGGGTTACCCTACTTTAGGTACCTACAGATGCTTATCTCTCATCAGAGCACCCTGGATTCCCATAGTACTCAAGATGAGGAGTAAATATTTTGGGAAGGCATAATCCTATGACATACTTGCTCTCATCTCTCTCTCCTCTCCTGACCAATGCTTTTCCTCTGTTTGTCCTCTTTCTGAAGTGCTTGGCTTACTTTCTCTGGGTCCAGATCAAGAAGATTTCAGAGTAAATCCTGAAAGTCCATTCACATACTCTCAAGCATGTCTCATATAGACAATGAATTGCACACAAAATCCAAACACTTAGCATTGAAAGGGGTCTCCTCAGTTAGAGTCTAGTCTTCTGCTGGCAAGGACACATTGTATAAAACTTTATATAAATTTACCAAGCTCTATGGAAAAGTAAGTGAAGAATCATCTCCTTAACACTCCCACAGGGAGTCTGCTCCAGAACTTCATTCCTTTGATCCTTGCAAATGATTTTTTTTCCTAATTTCCAGCCAGAATTTATTCATACTTGGTTTATGTCCATTTGTTCTTGTGCCAGCAATATTCTCTTTACCTTAAATAGCTTTTAAAAAGTTTTCCCTACTCAGTGTTTATGTATTTCATTAACTTTTGGGGAAAAAAAATCATAGTCTTTTTTAGCCACTATTGTCCAAGGAGAGACAAATCAAGCTCTTCCCATTTCCTCAGATGCCAAAGATGCCTCATCCAAGCTATATCATCTGTTTTCTGCCACTCCAAATTCCCTTTTTCCTAAGCCTGGTAGAGTAGAGCACATTCTGTACGAGGTCCTCGTTTTTATAGCTAAATTTTTTAGTTTTCCCTTACATTTTCTGGGCAGTTCTCACATGAGACAAGATCATGGTGTCTTCAACTTCATTCACCTCTTTCTGGTTCTCACTTCACTCCTGTCTAGGTCAATGCTACAGCACCTTTGTTCTGCCCAGTCTCTGCAACTGTAGGATAGAAGAGAACTTTTTAGCAAAGGTTTTAGAGAGTCCAAGGAGTAAAAACAAGAGGTGTGACGCACCAGCCAAGCTCTAATGGAGCTATCTAGCATACACATGGAGCAAGATTTCTTCAGAGGCTTTTCATCTAGACAAATTAAAGCAATGGCACAGGTTGGGCGGGGAAGCTGTGGATATCCCAACACTTGAAGGGCCAGATGGGATGGGACTTTGAGCTTCCTGGTCTAGTGGAAAGTGTCCCTGGCCATGGCAGAGAGATTGGATGACCATTAAGGTCCATTCCAACCCAAACCATTCTATGATTCTGTGATTTTTAGAGAGGGGAAAAACTCCTATCTCTACTGTCAGGATGGTCTCATCCAAACTGGATTTATCTACTCCAAAATTAGATTACCTACCTAGCCAAGTAATTTTAGGAGGTTAGTTAACACACTTCTTCCTCTTTCATTCTCAAAATAGTTGAATGCTTTCAGCTTGTACTGAAAGTAAGTGATGAAACGTATAAATTAGCTGTAGCATGGAAAAAATCTGATTAAATGGTTAAAAGTTTTGCAGTGTTGTAAGTAGCTAAAGGTAGGATATTAAAATGTAGTAGCCTTGCCTATAAATAGCTCTTCTGTAGTATATAAATACTAATATAGTGTATAAATACCAAAATACACAGCAGCATGCTGTCATGTGCACACACATTTGCCACATCCCAGAATATACATTTTAAAAGACTGAAATTTGTTTGTACAGGAGAAATATATTTAAGATCCTTCTAAAGGACTTTTCCTTACCACCTTTGTTCCTTTTTCTGTTTGGTCCCTGTACATCAGTCACTTGTTAGAAAAACAGTCCTAAAAAATGTTTGATTTTTTCTGTTCACTGGGAAAGGTTCTGTGAACTTAAAAAGCTCCCTGTGAAACATTTTTTTTTGTTTTAAAGGCATTTCTAAGCCCCATTTCCCCAGTGAAGGACATACTATGACATGGGATGCTCTAGATGGGGTCCCAGCTCTGCCCTGGGAGGACCCTCACACATCATATGGTCAAACAGGTGTCGAGACAATGCACATCTCTTCACTGTCTTTTAGCACAGTATAGGTCTGTGTCATTTACACAGGTTCACAAACCTGCCTTGCAAAGCTGAGGGCCTTAAAAAACTCAGACTATATAGCAGGATATCACTAAAAATAGAGAAAGCATTAAAACAGGGCTTAGGACGACTGAATTGTTTCCTTGGTGTAATCAGTCCTGCTGAGTGACCTTCACAGTCACTTCAGTCCCTTGTACTTCAGTTTCCTAAGCTGTTAAGTGTCTCTTACATTTCTGACAGCTTGGTGGTAAAGATTTTTGAGCTCTGCAGGTAAAAAGCACCCAGAAGGGTTTAAGCTAAGCAGCCTGCCTCACAGCACTGCTTACTGTGGAAATTACTCTGCTATTTTCTTGAAGGGGTGGGGGGGGAAGTACAAAAATCTCAGTAGGAGGTCATCAGATGAGAAAACCAAGCCCTAACGAGCAGACTGGGAGGTTGGTGTTCATCCTCCCTAACTAAATTTTATCACTTCTAAAATGCCTGCCTCTGTACTGGGCTCTCTCTAGTCACTGGGGAGAAATGGATGTTTCCAGAGCATGCTTCAGCTCATCACCATGAGCATCAAACCCACATGAGGAGACTTCTACCCTGGGACAGTCTGTTTCTCTGCTGACTACAGAGAGCTGAAGGTATTTCAGTTTTAGATCAATTTGAACTGGATGAGATTAATCCCTCCCAAAATTACTACAGTAAATAAACTGTACATCTTCAAAATATTTTCTACCTTTCCCTTTCCAGCTGGTTTTGAATGCTTACCAGTCTAAGATCTCAGTGTTATTGGAAGCCAGCTGCTTTATCCTGCTGGGTGTTGTGAACTTTAATCCCAAATGCAATTTAGGTAACCCCAAGTACTAGTCTTACATAGCAAATGTTTTGAGAGGCTCAGAGGGCAATGTGCTGCTTTGCTTTTGCAACCGAGGAAGCAGAAATATCTCAATGGCCCCCTGAAACTTACCATTCCCTCAGTGCAGTGAGTGTGGTTATGCTGTGAGGACCTCCTGGGAGAGCCAGAAGCAGCTGCCCATTGAGTAGTCACCACCATCCTGACACCAAAGCGGGTTCGTTCCAGGTGGGAAGACACGAGGTGGGAGTGGAGAAATCAACTGAAGGCAAAGGGAAAGAGCTGTTTAATGAGGCCCTTTCTGGGCTGTGTTGCTTTGTGTTTCGAGTGTGTTTGAATGTGTGGCTGTTTGCCTTGCAGAGGGATGCCCTGGCTTGTGCAATGGCAACGGCAGATGCACTCTGGACATGAACGGCTGGCACTGCGTCTGCCAGCTGGGCTGGAGAGGAGCAGGCTGTGACACTTCCATGGAGACGGCATGCGGTGATGGGAAAGACAACGATGGAGGTAGGACACGAGCACATGTGATATGTCAGGCTTCACAGAGCCTATAAACCTCTCACAGGGAACAGTCATCTGGGCTTGATTCTGCAGGGCAGATTGTTTTTTGACAGCTGGTAGAGAACAGGCAGCAAAATCTGCCAGGCTGACTCAGCCAGAGTGGATTGGAATTTAAATTAAATGGGTTTGGATCTGGGGTGCCAGGGCTGAAGAGGGACATTTGTTTGTCTTCAAATCAAGTCAACAGAGCAGAGAGCAGGCGGAGGCTGTGCACCTGTCCAGTTCCCCCACCCCAGCCGAGTGGCTCAGCTGTGACACGATGGGACCACCTCAGACACTGAACATCCCTGACTGTTCAAACTTTGCCCTCACTGCCTGAGGCTTTCATCAAGGCTCTGCAGTTGGTCACTACTGACTTTAGATGGATATTTTTCAGAAATTTAGAGGCTTGGGTGACTTATCCCCATACCCACAAGCCATCCAATCCCTCTCAAACCATGTTTTATTGATTACTGTTCCATATGTAATGATGTCAGGCATGTGAATAATAGCTCTGTGTAATGCAAACTTAATATTCAGAGTTATCTCATTACAAAGGAAACCATGGTGTAGTGTGAAGGTTTGAATTAGAGAGCAGGAGATGAGATATTAAATTTAAGGCATAAGGGAGACTGTATAATTTGTTTTGTTGTCACTCAGCAAAAGGCTTTGTAAACCACAAGTCTGGGCCAGGACCCAGACTGTGAAGTGGAGACTGAATTTTGCAAGCCTCTGTTTTATCATATTCACAAGAACAGTACAGTTTAAAAAAAATAATAGCCAAGCCAAGTCTGTGATTATCTGCTTCACAACAACTGCGATTCTGATTGAATATTTAAAATACTTCTGCACATCTGGCATGGCAAATGGACCAAATTAGCCCTTTAGAAAAGATGAGAAAATTGGAATACCATAGAAGGAGTGCACACTATAAAACAAAGATGGCTTTTTACCTCATATGGAACTGAATATCACTGTACTTGCCTTTTCTATTTACAGCTGACACAGGGAAGCAATAAAGGTCATCACATCAGATGTGTAAAAATATGGTAAATAGACCAAAGGTTAGTCCCAGTTTCCATGGAAAAAAATAACCAGCAAAAGCCCTGTGAAGTTTTTAGAAGGAGAGTGACAGAAGGAGTAATCCAGCCTAACATACGATGTAAATCAGAACTGCATGACCAGATTCTGAGCATCTCTTCATATCTCCTGATTCAAGGGTTAACCTTTTTACCTGGGTTACTACCCTCACCTTGAAATGAGCTGCTTTGCAAGCCTGCAGGAGAGCAGATGTAGACGGGAGAGACAAAAGGCATTGACAGGTTTACAAGTTAGTGCACATCAACTGCTAACTGCATTTGGTGAACCTGTGTGGAGCAGTGGTGTGCACAGCAAGAACAGAGCAACTGATAGATTGTAATTTAGCACCTTGTGACAGCTTGTTCATGTGTCAGAGCCCACAAATGGGTGTTGATTTTACTCTTGGTACACTCAAAAAAAAAAAAAAGTATGTACATGGTGTGCATTACAGATTACAGATAATCTGTCATACACTGTGCCTTTGATTTGGCTGTGTTACTGATAAGGGCTCTCCTCAATGAGCACTGTGGTTTCTCCACCTTTTGGGATTCTGTCACATATGCTGGAGTGATGCATGCTCAGGGCTGGAGAAAGGTGGTTTATTTTGGCTCACTGGAAAGGATCCAAACGTGGAATTTACTCTTGAATGTTGGCAATGGAGGTAGAAGTCCTTTCATGAAGCTTTAGAAGTCAAACAACTGACCTAGTCAAAATGGATATAATGAGTGGTGAGAAAGAGGTTAGTGGGGCTGTTCACAGTACCAGGGGCGTTCACTCTGCCTGAGCTCATACCTGCTTCCTACACTGTGGTGTCGAGTGTCTTCTAATCAAAATCTCTGCAGCCGGAAATTCCTCAGGATAATGGGAGCTGAAGTCAGAAACTTTTTCATCAGCTCCCAGCCTAATCATACCCTGAGGGAGACGGGTGCTAAATTACAGGGTGTGTTCGCCTCTTAAATCTGGAGGCTGTTCAGATAAACAATAACAAGCTGAGCAGGAGTCACTCAGAGAGAAACTTGGTGAAATGTAATCTTTGTTCAGGCTAGTAAAAAGTTGTTTCTGAGTGCAGTTCCCTCTCCACAAAGTGTCATTTGTCAAAGCTAGCACTTAGGTTTCACACCCAGGTCCACTTTGTTTACACTTCTAAACACCAAGCCCATCAACTTGAAAGAAGCTGTAGTGAGTAACTGAGAGTAGGAGATCACCCAGTAACAGTTAAGGAAAAACAGTGCAATGACAGCTGTAACAATCTGGATAAAAGGCCAAGATTTTGTACATTTGACCTAAGAGGCCACCTGTATTACAACAAACAGGAAGTGTTTCTTTAAAACAAGATGAGAAAAATGGTTCTTGCCTCACTTCAGCAGAAAATAACCTCTCTAATTCATAGCTGCAAACTCTCACTACCTAAGAGTAGGTGTGACAGGTAGTACCTACATGTCTCACCCCACACTGAGTGCTCTGTCATGTACTTTAAAAATAAGTTTGAAAGTTTAAAAAATCAAGGAAATTATCTTCTGTGGCAAGTCCTAAAAGTGGAGTTAATGGCGTTTGATAATACCTTGAGAAGAGGCTGGTATTCCATAGGCTAAACATGGGCTCTGTTGCATTGGTAGACTCCTCTGTTAGGAACATAGTGTACAGGAAAAACTGAGGGGAAGACAGGATATTCTTAACTAATCTCATGAATATGCTGTTGAACAGCAAAGCTGTGTTTACCTGTCCTTGTTCTGGAGAAATCATCTAACTGTTGAGAGCCAAAGTTGTCCAGTTCTCCATTTCAATGAGTTTGCATGAAGACAAGATCCCATTGAAGTGAAATGATGACAGGGCTACAGATGTTAAATTAAATTGCTCATTTGGTCTAAAAGTTCAACACAGTTACTTTACTTGAGGGCCTTTGCTGTTGTTTGGGGCTTCTCCAGAGTAGCAAAGTCTTCCAGGTAGGGTAAAGCTTGCTGGTTTTCCAGGAACTGGAACCAACCCATCCTTCATTTCCTGCTTTAAACAATTCCAGTTCCTGAGCAGCTGCTGAACTCTGTCAAACACGAATCTACTTTACTTGTGGAAGACAAGAGTCTTTCTCATATGAAAAATATGTCTGAAATGACAGTATTCACAATATTATCTAAATCTTCATGTTCGTTAGAGGTTTCTGTTCAGTTGTCTGCCGTTCTCCTCTGCCTCTTCCCAACTGAAATACTTCCAAAGGCAAGTGTTAGTGGTTAAAGGATTAGATAGGTAGATAGATGGCTAGATAGATAGATACCCTTCCCAGTCAAATAAGGCTGGCCTGTCATAACATATATTGCACACCATTACATAAAGGTATAGAAACATCATTTTTCTTAGCTGTCATCTGGTCAACGATCTTCCTTTAGGACTAAGAAAAATAAACCATCCTGTTTTCTTTTTCTGCAAGAATTGTATTAGCGAAACTCCTTCCCCTCAGTTTATGTCTCATTTAGCCTAGGACAAACAGAGAGTTCCAATGTACCCATGGCCTCATTTTGCCTTTGCAAGTTCAGTCTGTGTTCCACCAGATGCTTCCCAAAAGCTAGCAGGTGGGGCAATTTTTATGCTTTCCTTCACTTATCCTCCTGGACCAGAACAACTAAAGGTTGCCTTAATCTCCCAAAGCTGGAGCAGTGAGCAGGTCACTTCAGGGACAGTGTAATTCAGGAATGGTTTCTCTGAGGCAAATCAGTGCTGTTTGTTTAACTGTACCTCAGCCCACTGGTAACTCCACAGTGCCTTGTCCCATTCAAGGATCAGGTAGTGCTTGTAGTTTACATAATGCTTTGGAGCAACAGCGTTTCAAATCTTTGGCAAGAGAAACTTTGGCACAGCACTCTGGCCTTCTTAACGCCCATGTGTTCACCATCTGTCCACCACATGCCAAATAGTGTTAGAGAGCTGGCAGAATCTGCGCTGATCTTTGCAGTGCATAGGGTTACACCTGAAGGTAGTCTCAGGGTTGTAAAGGGAATAGTAAAGAATCCAGGAGAACCCCAGAATGCAAACCTATGTCTTTGCAAATGCTTGAGCTACAGACAAAGTAGTGGGGTCCTTTCTTGATACTTCCTTCTTTCTTTTTGCCCTCGTGTCCTGGGCTTTAATAGCATGAGAAGATTGTCTCCTGGGCATGGTGTGTGAGCTGTCTGCTTCCTCAAAACCCTAAAAAATTATTCACTAATGTGCTGGCTACATTTGTGAGGGAAATAGTGAGATCTGAATGCACCTGGGAAAACAGCCATCATAAATTATCATTTATCATCACAGATAGATCCAGTCAAACAGCAGGGTCGTCTTGGAGGAACCACAAAGCACTGCTAAAATGATGGGAAAGTCTGCTGTACCTGAAAGATTGGGTAGCTGGTATAATTTGTTAGAAATCACCCAGTTTCTCTTCCTCTGTTTCATGGTGACTGTTAATTGACTTCTCCTCAGATAAAATGACCAGTTCACATTTTCAGGTTTCAGCTCTTTGCTGATTTTGTGTTGGATGGTAATACATGGGTGTCATCTGCAACTGATTGTTGGCAGCAAGGCTGGCAGGAGGGCACTGTTAACCCAGGGCATTCCAGCATCCTGGAGCATATATTGATTGTGCCACTGGAGAGGATGATGTGTTGTGAACTGGGGGGTCTTGCAGTGTCTTGTCTTGACACCTTGGGAGAGCTCCTGGTACTTTGAAGGAGTCCTTAATGAAATTCCTTTGATCAATAGATTCAGAAATAAGCTGTGAAAATGCTCTCTGTGTTGAAGGAAACCTACCATTGTCTGCTGAAATGAGAGAGCTAAGTTATGGGAAGGAGGCACTGCTGGTACACAAAATGTAACAGGAGGTAACATGAGCCAGCTTCAGAAAAAAACAGATTGGACAC